ACTTAAAAGCCCATTATCGACAGTAAAGATAATTAAAAAAAACACACATCACAGCATTCCATACACAAGATGATCATTAACTTCAATAAAATGTGCAAGAGTAGACATTATGCAAAATCAATGAGATCAGAAGTAAAAAACTCTACAATCAAAACATAACTTGGCAATATAAAACAGCTCTTTTATGTGATAAAGAGTACCACTGTGGCGTAAATAAAGTGGAGATAGTTTCTTTAGAACTAAGGTCCATAAATGATTGCCAAACTCAAAATCTACAAAGACAAACCTGAAATAATGTTAGCTGAGCAGAAAGAGTGGTTGCTTCCGTTTGAAGGGTCTGAACTTTACGCTCTAGTTCTAGAATATAGCGGGCCTTCCTCTCTTTTGAGCGAGCTGCTGACTGCCGATTTGCCAGTATTCTATCATTAGAAAGAAGCATTGTCACAAGCATAATCCTAAAAAGAAAAACAAATTCCTGAAAAATGGAAATCAAAGCTAGACTTTCCAAATTATACAAGAGCAACTTGAAAACCTATGGTTAGATGAATTTACAATCAGTAAACTAACCTAAAATGCTAAGACTTGAAAACAATAGGATTATCTCAATGGGAGCTATAACGAGGCACAATTAAAAGCGCTACCACTTCATCAAGGAGAACTCTTTGAGAAAAGTGATACGAAAATGCAACAGGGCAGCTTGTGATGTTAATAAGTTTGGTGCACAATTTGACAGAGTACGATTTTCATCAAAGTATAGGTCATCTAAGCACTTGCAAGGAAGAAAGGGTTGAAAAGAATCACTATAAAAGAAAACAAAAAAATGGTATGCCTTCTCTCTGAAATATAAGAAAATGGAATAACCACTTGTGACTAATTCATACGCGATTGAAGGAAATTCCAATTAGAAATCAATATAAATTGAGATCTAGGCAGGAAAATCATAAGTGAACTAAAGACTTGACCTGACAAGCACAGTGTTCAGATCTTAATTCAGGAGTTGACAACATGGATGTTAATTAGATTTACAGCAGTAGTTTGTTCAATCAAATTAAAGTGAACTCAGCCATTACTACTTGTAAAAAGAACTTTTCTTCTTGAAAACAAAAAAAAAGATGAATAATAATCTTATAGAAAGGAGCAAACTTGATAATAAAAGAAATGGCTTTAAGTTTGTTTTGGTTCCATAAAAATTGGGCCAAATTTAAAAGCAAAAAAAAATCCATTTTTTTCTCTTGGTTTCCAAAGATCATGTCAAAATGCTAGCATTCAATTTAGTCCCAAGGAGATTTTGCTTAGGAATTATGTCAACAACATTGAGGTTGCTGATCTGGTTTTCTTGGAAAAGCAAAAGAAACAATTTGTAATCACCTTAACACTTCTTGCAAAATCAATCTTTTCTTAAAAACAAAAAAGTGAAAATTGTTTAAAGGAAACGAAAGAAGGAACCTTTTAGCACGCTTGGGATCAAGGTTCCAGAGTTCGGCCAGCTTATCAGGAGGCATAGCTTTCTTGGCCTCCATTACCTCTCCGTAAGCGCTACCGTCCACCGAATTACTATGCCTGTGTCTGGGCCGAGAAGACGTCGCAGTGGTGGATGACGACGTCAGCTTCTCC